CCCCCAAGCACCGCCGCCGCTCCCCACACTGCCCACAGCCCCTCCAAGCACCGCCGCCGTTCCCCAGCGCCCCCGACGGGCCTCCCGGGCGTGGGTGATGCTCTGCACATTCGCGTTCAAAGCGTGCACCTGCGTTCTTTGAACACGCGTTCAACTCGTTCGAAAACTGAACGCGGAACCCGTGTTCAACGAACGCGCGGCAACACAGACTGCGAGTTCGTTTCCAGGAGTGAGAAATCAACATGCGTTCGGGAACCGTCTACGGACATGTGGTTCAAGTTGAGCGAGCAGAAGAGGAACAGGATTTACGAGTTCCTCTTTTTGGAAACGCGGCCCAGGAGGGACAATGACGCTGAGTACATGCGCCGCAAGGAACACATGTTGGCATTGTCGGACAACTACCACGACGCCTCACGCAAGAATGCAAAGAACTTCCTCAACCGACTGGAGTGTTTGTACTTCGTCGAGTCCGAGCAGGTGCTGAACCTTGAGAGTTATGGTGCCTTGATCTCCACAGATGACGAGGCGGAGACAGGCGTTGTTTTCGACACCACCACGCCGGAGGAGGACAGCGACAGCGAGGGCATCGACATCAATTAACATCCTGCTCCGGTGTTTCATGCCCCAGGCTCCTCGTCGGCCGGTCCCTCAACAAGCCAGGCCACCAGGGCGTCATCTGTGCTCACGTTCACCCCGGGTAAGACCCCGAGTAAGTTGGCGGTGTCGGTGCGGATACCCTTACAAGGGTATCCGCCCTGGTTTTTGCAAGTGACAGAAAATAGTTTTGGTCTAGAGTTTAAGTGTACCGCGCTAAGCGCGGCTGCGTTAGTAATTGCTTTGACTGGGTGGTTGACCGCAATAGCGAGTGCGTGGGCGCGCAGGCTTAAGGCGCGCGTGATTCTTTTCTGTTGTTGATCGTAAAGCCGGCCCGGACCTCAGTCGTTTTGCTTGGTGATATTATTTTATTATTTATTATTTTATTTATTTTTGATTAAGCAGTACATAAGGATGTTTCCTTTTAATTGGTACACTTGACCGAGTCGAGCGCGCGTGCGGAGAGCGGCCCCGACAACGGCGTTGGCAACGACGGCGCGGCTTCGTGCGGTAAGTGGGGTGTCGTAGGATGGCGCACGGGGCAATTATGGCATGGTATAAGCAAACCGGCGCGGGCACTCGGAACCGTGCAGCCGGTTGTCGGCCCATAGCGCCGCGCCGCACTGCTTATATGGCGCTCCGCGGATATTGGTCTCAGGCTTGGGCTTAGCCCTATAGGTTATGACATCGGACTACTGCTACGAAGGTTCGGGGATCGAGGCCGGCTAACGTCGATGCCGCGATAGCAGAGCGTCGGGGAGAAGGCCGATGGGGTTGAGGGCCGTGGGGCTATCCTCCTCGGTTTTGTTAGTGGCGACGTCCGATTGGTGCTGGCCTTTTCAAAAATAGTTTTATAATAGTGTCGTATTTTTCCTACCCCAGCGGGGCATTGGTTTGGATGGGACGCCGGATCTAATAGTCGTCACGGCGGCCGAGGACCTTGAAAGCGCGCCTTTTAAGGCTGACCTGCGGGTTCTCGCGCGCTTGGGGTGCCGGCGACATTCTTGTATCCTATTTTTATTTTGGTGCGTGGGCTGAGGAGCACCGTCCGTCCCCATGCGGTTCGCCCGCGGGCTTTTTCTCCCACTTCAGTCTTCAAAGTTCTCATTGGAATTACCGCTGAAGATCGTACGGGGCCCGCCTCACTAAGGCCCACGTATAGGCCTTACAGCGGGCCGCAGGTCCACGGCCAACTGACTGAATGGGAGTTTGCCCGTTGGGGGTCCGAGGTGGTGGTGGACACCGTAGGAGCGGAGCGGGGTAAGAAAGGGCTGTGGCAGGCCGCCCGCGGACCATAGGCTGAAGAAACCGGCAGCCGGGGCGAAGAGAGAGCTTGGCAGGGAGAGCCTGGACGGCGGAGTCGGTGGTGCTGCGTTATGCAGCAGCCCGCGGGCMAGGTARCRAACAGGAGRACAGAATGAACCCGGAYGGGRTGAAGGAAAAGGGGAGGTGGTAACGTCGGACCTCAGTCCGACGGGCGCTAATGCAGCGCGGCGCAGCAGCGGGCCGAGCGGCGGAGCAGCGGCGCAGATGGGAGGCACACCGTCTGGAGGACTATAGGGGCGAAAGACTAATCGAACCGTCTAGTAGTTGGTTCCCTCCGAAGTTTCCCGCAAGATAGCTGGAGCTGTTGAACGTCGGACTTGGGTATAGGGGCGAAAGACTAATCGAACCGGCTAGTAGCCGGATCTTCCCGAAGTCCTCCTTCGGGTTGGCCAGGTAGCGCTGCGTTGCAGCGAACGAGGCAG